TGGGACCGACGAGGTTACACCTGATAGCCTCTGCCAGCCACTGGCCGGACACCACAGCTCGGGTCTGAGCCGCCATGACGCGCAGGAACGAGCTCTGAGCGCAGGGGGGAACCGGAGATTCTTTATCTTCCTCCGGGATTCACATTTCCTCTCAGGAAAAGTTACAGAAGTACAGATTCATCCAAAAGATAATCTAAGTCCTGCATAAAATAATCTAAAACTTTATTGATCCCACACCAGGATATTCTCACCTGTTACAGCAGCAGACAGTGAGAATAACAATACGAATATATCCATAACATGCACCTTTATCAGTGGAACCATTGTTTGTAATAATAACAAAAATAACAGTTAACTTTATTTGTTCAGAACATTTCATACAAAGAATACAGCTCAAAGTGCCTCACGAACAAAAAGTGAAAAATGTAACTCAAATAAGAAGAAACCAGATTTTAATGTTAAAATTACATTTAAAAGAAAAGGAAATGAAAAGTCAATAAAATTTAATAAAAATGCATAAAAACAGAAAATAATAAAAGTGATGGAAAATATCAGTATAGTACAAGCAAGTGTGAGATCAGTTAAAGGCAGAAGCAACTTCTTTAAAAGTTCACTTTTAAAGAAGTTTACTGAAGCTTCTCTGATATCTAAGTCTGTTCCACCACGTTGGAGCGAAGTGCACAAAACGCATTCTAAAGGCAAAAAGGGTTTTGTGGGGTCACATGTCCTTTGACCTCCGAATTTGAATCATCCTTGAGTTCAAGTTTATGTTGTGCCAGATGTGATGAAATCCCTGTGTCCCTGATATATCACATAACTAGTTCATCTGTGAATCCAAGTGAAAGACTTCCAAATTTGTGGTTATTTAATGGTGCCATGTTTAAAGCAGAGTAATCCCAACATACTCCAGGGGTGTGTAACACACCATGGGAGAGAGAGAGAGAGAGAGAAAGAGAGAGAGAGCACTATATATTGCATTTAGGACAGAGAAGGGGAGGCAAGAAACCAAATTGCTTCATTGGAGTCACTGCTTCTGCATTATATATAAAGCCTAGTTTCTGTTGTCCAACCAAAGTTTCCTACCAGTGACTGAGCTTCCATCCAACCAACTGGCCAGATTTGAGAGAAATATCCCGACTGAGGTAAGATCATTTCCATGAATATCTGTCTTCAGAATAATTACAGATTAATTGTGAGTAGAAACAAGTCTATTGTCCTCAGGCACAAAGCCTGTATCTGCAATTAGGTACAGTAGTGTTTTTAATTAGATATTAAATAAATATTCAAAATGAAAATTCTAATTCAAATACATCTTGGTATGTAAATTCATTTCACTGTGAATTGTTGTCATGGACTTTTTGTTTCGTAGAAGATTTCCCCAAATGTTACTGACAACCATTCCAGTTGTCAGGGTTGGAGTTGTTCGGACAGAAGTCTTGCTAATTCCTAAATGTTTTTAAATTTTCAAGCAGCATGAACACAATCCCATTTGCTTCGGTTGTATTGGTTTACTTCTGATAAAGGCAGGGTTTTAAAATGAAAAAATCTCTACAGATGGGAGTAAACCTCCGAGTTTAAATTGGTAAATGGTTAATGTTTTTAAGTTTTTGAAAGTCCATGAAATCCATCAGTCACTTTAATCGCAAATGTGCTGTTGTGATAGACAGAAAGATATGTATTTTGTAGTAATAAGTAAAATTGCTAACGCTGCTCCCTTCACTAACTGAGCTATTGAAATCATAAGATCAATATTCCAAGAGCTGAATCCACCACACAGACAGGCAGCCTTGTGTGGAAATCCTTGAACTGATGAGTCAAATCAAGTAAAATCTAATTTGCCAACAGTGAGGTATGCATTTCCTTGTCAACCAATAAGAACCAAATGGCATGCTTTATTTCTGGGCTGATCAACTGTAGTAACTGATTCCTCGTGTATGGGCTTGGTCATCCGACATTACTACAGTCCATATAGCTGCTCAGTCCAGGAGGGGATTGTCTCTCACAGAAGTAAAATCTGGATACATTCCATTCATGTCCATCACATTATTACACAAAGAGACCTGTGTTAGATTCAGCTACCCCTTCACCATAATTCAGATAATTCACTTACTGGCTCAGCTAATGTGAGAAAGGTTGGACATCATGTGAAGCAAACGTAGATTGAGATGAGAAAGGGTGCGTGTCAGGTGATGTGCAGTAAAATATATTGCATTGTGCTCGTCTGTCTGTCTCTTCCAGGTCTGAAGTTTAGTTTGTGAGAGTAAAAACTGTCACAGTGACAGCGCTAACGTGCGGTTTAATGATAGTTCATGGTGGTGAGCGGCTGTATTCTAATCATTGGCTTCCGTCTGTTTTTTTGGTTGTGACAACGATAATTTGGGCAGTTTTAATTCAATTAGAATTCAACTTGGCAAGTTAGATAGGGTCATGACCTAAAAGATTGATTGTTGTTTTCTAAATTTATCAAAGGTCAAAGTCAAGGCTTGTGTATTTCAGTTCCAAATTTCATTGATCATTATCTGCACAAACTGATGCAACATATTTTAAAAGTTTAAACCTCACACGGCCACAAAATAAATACATTATGTAAAAAAAAATATGGGATAACCAAAGCTGGTACAGTTGATCCTCGGGTGAATAGTAATGCCTATTTCCTGTGCTGGTACATTTGTTGGCTTAGATTATAAACATACAAAAGAACCCAGATGTTTGTTCTCGCCCTGTATAGTGTTCCCATGCAGATGTTTTTCTTTTCCTCTTCAAATGCTTCAAAATATGTTGTTCTGACATCACAACCAATTCTCTCTTTTTTTCTCTTTCTCTAACCAGCCATCTCCACACCAACAAGATGACCCTCCGCAACTACCCCGCTCCAGAGTTAGATGTTACCTTGCAAGAAGTTGGCCGTGTCCTGCAGCTCACTTTAAGACCCGATCTTTACCCTGAGTTTAAAAGTGTGCTGCAACAGCAGAGGGAGCTCCTTCAAGCTGCTGATCAGAAGTTAGCAACTAGACTTACTGGCCAGGAGAACTGGGGCTCAGAGCAGTTCAAGAAATGCCTGCTTTCGTGTTCTGACCCTCTGCCCACATCCACAGCCCTCCCTATCGTTCTCCCTGCATCCAAAGTGAAGAGATGCACCCAGCTCGGGAGGGCAGCTGCTCTGCTCTGGGGAGCTGCAAAGCTGTACAGTGAGCCCTCAAAACCTGCAGAGGGCGATGTACCAATGGAGAACACGCAGCAGTCTGAGGTATTTGCTGCCAGCCGGATTCCTGGCAGGGTTCAAGATCAAATTAAGGTGAGATAAATTGCAGGACACAACTGGAGAGCAGGTTGTGTTTGAATCTTTTCATTGAATTGTAATCTTTACCAAAATATATTCCACTATGTCTAATCTGTGGCTTTGTAATTTCCAGGTCTACCCAGATAGTCTCCATGCCATCATCACATGTGTTGGAGGAGTGTTCCCTGTTGACATACTGTTGCGTCCCAGCCCTGGTGGACCAGTGTCTGCTCGACCATTCATTGACATCTACAACCAGCTGGCTCAGGTGATGGATGAACCCAGAGCAGGAAAACAGAATGATCCCTCTGCCATTTGCAGCCTCTCAGCTCTGCATCGTAAAGACTGGGCCGCCATCAGAGAAGAGATCCTGGAGCAAGGAGGAGAAGCAGCGGCATCACTGGGGCTAATGGAGAGCGCTGTGCTCACACTGTGTCTGGAGGACGAGAATGCACCTTCTGATCTGGCCGATACCCTTAATGCAGTGAGGCTGGGAGGAGGAGGAGATGGTCCATGTCTAAGACACTATGATAAGGTACAGAGAGAATCACAGACACACACACACACAAAGTTGTGGTCAAATTAGATTTGCACTTAACACGTTTATTTGTATGAAGTAGTATTGATGTGTATGAAAAATGTCAATTGAATATTTGACTGTACAAAAAGTTTGTCAGTGATATTACTGATGATTGAAATTTAATTACTTGCATATTTTTTGAATGGACTGAAAAAATAAATCTACCTTTGTTTTTCTGTTTTTCTTCTCTGACAGATGATGAACCTGGTGGTGTTCAAGGACAGCACAGCTGGAATGTTGTTTGAGCACAGTGTGTTGGATGGGATAGTGGCTGTGTTTGTGAGTGGTTGTGTCTATAATCTGTCTGAGACTGTTGATTTGGAACTAGCCCACATTGAACAAGAAAATGTGAATGGGTCCGTCACAGTTAACAATGTAAATAATCTTTGCCCAACTTCTTTAACGTTCCACTTGCAAGGAGTGAACATCCCTAAGCCAAACCCTGCCTCAAAAGCAACTAATCAAGTTCTCACTTTTGATGTTCCTTCCTATCCTGATGTCTTTTCTACAATCAGAGAGCACAGAGGCCTGTATGATGCCTGGATCAACTTCTCATTGCAGCTCTCCCTGAGGCAGACTCTTGGGGAATCAGCTGCCAGTCATGTGCTTGTCACACCTACCCATATGCGCCACTACAAACATGGTCGATGTGATCCTACATACTCACTCACCATGCATTCTCTCAAGTTAGTAGGTGCCTTGGCATCCTGCGTAGGTCCAGATAAGACAATCCAATACACTACTGACATCTTACGCTTGTTCCATGTAGCATTTTTGGAGCACAAGAGTCTCATCAGAAAAACTAAAAATGGTCAAGGTGTTGGTCCCCATCTAGCTGCCCTGCGCCAACTTTTGCCATCGGACAATCCACTGAAAAAGTTTCTGGACCCCTTTGGGTGTCCGTCTGTATACCTGACTGGTTCAAGTCTCATTGAGGGTGTAGAATGTGGAGTAGGGAATGTTTATGCACAAGATCAGCTGGCTGTTGCATACCTTGGAAGAATAGACAGGGTTCAAATTGTGCTTAACGGAAAAGGGAGCTTTGCAAAAATACTGCAGAAGCTTCAAGAAAACATGAAGGTAAACCTGAAGTTAGTGATGCTTCTAGCTGTTAGATATGCCATAGCTAATCAGATGGGTGCCCTGGAGTGTCTACTCCAACAGGGTCAAACAATGAAAGTGATTGGAGAAAGCCCAAAAAGTGGGGAAAGCACCGCTGACCCAAACTATACCATGTTGATCCATGGTGGAGCTGGAGAAGAGATGATGTTGAACACCAAAGTGATTGGGGTTATTGAGTTTGCTCTACAGACAGCCTTATCCCTTGGATCCCAAGTCCTTCAACAAGGTGGCAGGAGTCTGGACGCAGTTCAGAGGTCAGTGGAGGCTCTGGAGGACTGTTTTCTGTTCAATGCAGGTAAAGGCTCAGTATTCAACAGAGATGGCAAAAATGAATTGGAAGCCACCATTGTAGATGGTAATACAATGAGGTCGGGATCTGTTGCCTGTGTGCAAAGTGTGAAGAACCCAATAAAAGCAGCCAGATGTGTCATGGAGAAAAGCTCACATTCACTTATAGTGGGGGATGGGGCTGAGGAGTTTCTGCAAGTGCAGGAGGAGGAGAAAGCTGTAGGATGTGAGTATTTTTACACTGACATACGCCACAGAGAGTTAACTGCAAAGCTTAGTGCTGGAAATACCTCAAAAAACAATCATCCTCAGACAGTTGGAGCTGTAGCATTGGATCATTGGCATGGGTTGGCTGCGGCATCCTCTACAGGTGGGTTAGTAGGAAAGCTGAAAGGACGAGTTGGAGATACAGCAGTAGTAGGGGCAGGAGTATATGCTGATGACAAATTAGCTATTGCCTGCTCTGGAGATGGAGATGTTTTTTTGAGGCACACAGTTGCCCAGAGAATAGCTTGTCTCTACCATCACAAAGGCTACAGCCTTAGACATGCATGCAAAGAAGTCATGGCTGAAAATCTGAATGGGACATGTGCAGGCATCATTGCTGTGGACACTCAAGGTGATGCCATCATCGAAACAAATGCTGGTGTAATGTTTGTAGCCTCTCTGATTGATGGTATTTCACGAGTAGAGGTCCTCAGGCCCCTAAAAAGCTTCTCTGATGTGATCTGGGAAACAGATGAGCTGGTTGCCTACTTGAATCCCAACCCCTGGATCCCTGGCTCAACCATTCTGACCAGAAAAACTAATAGTGGGGCAAGCAGTATCTTCCACTTGCCCACACCTGATTTTGTGGCTATGCTACAGGGAGCGAGAGTAGTATCAAACCTACTATGTCAACAGTTGGGAGTGCAGCGCTGTGCCTTCGTTTTCTACCCATCACCTGATCATCCTTCACAAATCAGACTGCTCCCACTTCATGGACTCGAGCCAAAGTGGCAGCCTCATCTTGCTGGTGAAGAGGAATTCCATGCATACGATCCTGGCTACTGCAATTCAAAAAGTAGCCCATGCTGGGATGACAAATCTCTGACTCAGATTCAAGCCAAGATTAGAAACAAATTACCAACACCAAATGCACCTTCTTGCTTTGACTTCTTCGGGGACCCTTCCAATAACAACCTGTTCAGCCGTATTGTTCGGGGAGAGCAGCAACAGTGGAGAGTGTGGGAAGACAGTGAGTATGTTGCATTCCTTACACCATATCCGAACACTCCTGGAGTTACTGTTGTGGTGCCACGCAAACCACTGCCCAGTGACCTCTTTAAATTGAACGAAGCTGACTACAGAGCAATGATTTTAGCAATTCATACAGTTGCCAGACTATTGGAAGAGGGGATGAGAGCTCGAGGCGTTGCACTGATCTTTGAGGGCTTGGAGATTGACTATGCTCATGCCAAGCTGATCCCTCTTTTACCTCCACCTGATGGCACTCAGCCTGCTGAGGTGCAAACAGAATTCTTTCAAAGCTACCCTGGATATGTGTCATCGATGGATGGGCCAGCTGCCGATCCTGAGACCCTTCAAGCGATCCACTCAAAAATCACCAAGTGCAAGGCTCCACATTCATGGCAAAACCCTGTCACCCATTCCACACTTGCCATTAAAAGCCAGTGGTATCGCAACCTGTTCCAGATTCAAAACACTCTTTTCCACAGCACTGTGGAATATTTCCAAAATTCCTGCCATTTCTCCTATGCTCTGACCCCTCTCACCACAGACACCATCTCCTCACCAATGGGTCTTGGATCTGACTCAGAACCAGTTTCTGTTAACCTGCTGGGGCAGGACATCTACCTGGCTGACTCAATGCAATTTGTTCTTGAATACTTCCTTCGCTTCCAGGAGAACCTGCCAGGAACCTACTACATATCTCCCAGCTTTAGAGGGGAAGATCCTGATGCCACACACCTGAACCAGTTCTACCACGTGGAGTGTGAACTGTTGGGTGATATGAACGACGCCATTTGCACAGCGGAGAGATACTTGGCCCATCTCACTAAGTCCATGTTGAAGCAACACTCAGATATAATTCTCAACACTGTTGGGACCCTTACGCATGCCAAAGCCATGCTGAGTAAACTAGAGGGAAAAAATGGACTACCGAGAGTCCCTCTTGACCAGGCCATTCCGATGATGCCATCTGCTGACTGCCTTGAGTGGGTCCAAGACAGTCAGCCCCAGTTTGGCAGAAAGCTAACACGCAAAGGAGAGCGAGTCTTGATAGAAAAATACGGTGGCGCTGTTTGGGTGACTGAAATGGATCATCTGGGAGTCCCCTTCTATCAGGCATATGTAGAGGGCAGTGGGCAATGCAAAGCCAAAGCTGCAGACCTTCTGATAGGGCTGGGTGAGACTGTCGGTCTTGGTGAGCGTCACTCCACCCCTGAGATGGTGCAAGAGGCTCTCAGGCACCATGCAGTTCCCGAGCAGTCCTACAAATGGTACATTAGCATGCGACAAGCAAAACCACTCCTCACCAGTGGTTGGGGCATGGGGACGGAGCGCTACTTGTGTTGGCTGCTACAGCACGATGACGTCAGAGATATACAGATAATACCGAGGATGAAAGGAAAGAAATACATGCCCTGATTATTAGTTCTCCTCGTATTTTCAGGCAAATAGATGTAATATAGAGGACTTGCAATAATGGGATCAAAGAAGAGTATATATTATGGATTTGTTGAATAGAAATGTCTCAATAATCCAGAGTTTCATCCAGTTTTGAGTTTATTTTAAATCTTTCCTGTTGTGTCCATGATCAGAGGAGAAAGGGAAAGGTCTAAGTTTGGCCTGACCTTTGCATCCCAAGCATAAATGTTGGTGTCTGGTAACCCGGAGGCATTATTGCAAAAAAAAGGAAGAGTAAATGAGCTAAAATTGAGATGACTCAAAGACTTTTATTATTTATTCTTTAAATGCTATTTTACACTTACAGGATGGTTTCCTTAACAGCAAAGCTTTAATATCAATGTAACTGCATGTTGAAAATGTAGGGTGGGGGGTTAAGTACAGCTTGGATTGTTTTATTATAATATAATAATATCTATGGTTAAGACTGTTTTGATATGGACAAAGTTACACAGTATAACTTGTATGAATAAGTTGTTCACTTTTTAATTTGTTTGAATCCTTCAATTCTTGGCTATAAACACTGTATAATCAATTTTACAAATAAATTCTCTATGTTGCTGTCTAATGTTGATTTTTCTGGTCTTATTTGTATTAGATCATATTATTTTTGTGGAAGTCATATTTTCATGTAGCGGTGTTGTTTTTATCTCAAAGTTTGAAATGATGAGTACATTTTAAAACTCTGAAAG